TTTGCATGTGACAAACAGAAAATATGTTTTATAAAGAAACAAAAACTATTTGTTTTTTTTCCATTCATAAAAAAATAAATAATAGTAATTTTAGCATGATGTCCACTCTAGTGGACACTTCTGTGACTTCTTCAAATGTGTAAATAATAATAAAAAACGTCTAAAGTTTTTTATTTAGTAGTATGCTACATTGGTGGATCATAAGTGCTTTGGAAACAACCCTTACATTCATCCCCTCATCTATCGACCCTCATAATCATTCCTTCATCCAACTTCACTCATTACTTTTATCTCTGCCATGCTCATTACGATACTCATTCTAAATTTAGATTTTTCTTGGCTTGGTCTTTGAACATATAGTTGTGATAGATTTCTGTCTCTATGGTGGTTTCCTCGTTCTCCTCTTTGTATTGTATTGTAGTGTGTTTGTATTTTTTCCCATCCCTTTGTGTTTAGTCAGGGTACATATGTGGATCATGACCACTTTAAAAACAAATATCAACCTGAAGTTAACATGAAGAGCAGAAACATAGTTTGTTGTTATGTAGGATATATTTATTATTTCAAACATTGTGATACAGGAGATGTTATCTTCTAACTTTATTCAGTTTCTGATTTCTTTGTTTCTATCAATGCAGTAGACCAGTTCACCGTGCTAATGTCTACTTTGATAAAGATGTTATTCATTTAAGCAATGAAGCTGTACATGAGAAATAAATGTGATAATGATACAGGAAACAACATTTTCCTCTGAGCTAATGTCAGAGAGCTTTGAACACTCTGTATCTCTCTGAGCTGATGTAGCCTTCATCTCTGAGGTGCTGCAGTTTTCACTCTGAGAGAAATAAGAAGCACACACTGCTTAGTCGCCCTCATTGAGGTCTGAATACCTGCCAGCATTTTGTGTTTTTTCTTATCAAGTTATGATGTTTCTCAACTCACCAATGTTGCATTCATAGAAGACGATACTGTACGTTTCATCATAACCACCCTAAAAATAAAAAATAAAGTATAAACATCCAAATCATCTTAATGATCATCATCATAGTTTCAAAATCACCATCATTTATTCAGACTCTCAGTATCACCCACCCTCTCCTACCAACAATCACAGTCTGCCTTTAGCTGTCCTATTAATGAAGGGGGACCAGCAGCCTCCCCACCTTGATGTAGGAAGCAGGCCAGATTATGATCAGTAAACAATTACTGTCCCATCACTATCTCCATCAATAAATCTTATTGTGAAGTGGCTCAGTGCAAGAGTTGGTCATCTCTCAACCAGAAGGTTGGGGGTTCAATCCCCAGCCCCTGCATCTACATGTTCAATGGGTCCTTGGTAAGACACTTAAGCCCAAATTGCTCCCACTGCTTCACCAGCGGTGTATGAATGGGATAAGTTACTGCCTCTGTTATCAGTGTGTGAATGTGTAGGTGTAAAAGTGCTTTGAGAAGTTAGAAGACTAAAAGGATGCTATACAAGCTCAAGTCTATTTTTCGATTTACAATAAACTGCATCTGGAAGATTTAGAGTGGAGTCGACTAAACTTTCATAGATTTCATCCCAATAATCTGTCACACAGGGATAAACTGCTTCAAAATCTATTGTGTTATGAATAAAGGAAAATAGTCTATTTTTCTTCAAATGAAAGTTATCTCAGATTTCATAACAGCATGTCTCTGGGGTTAAAAAAATGTTTTTATATTGATTCATGATGTTTACAACAGATCAATAGTTTGAATGAAAGGGTATCAGAAGCTCAAAACAAGACAATAAATAATGAGAAAAGTCCATCCTCTCTGTCTTTAGCCTGCTCCACCTTTCAGACAATGTGTGCTCAAACAGGCTGTTTGGAGATTTTCTCTTCATGACATCACAAAGAAACTTCACAGATATGTTTGGGGAGCTCTGAGATTTATTTTAACTTTTTGAAAAGGAGTATAATATGTGACCTGTAATATAATTGTTAATTAAACGGGTACAGGGACTGAACCTTGATGATGTTTTTGTTGTCGTGGGAATTACTGTGTGCTAGAAAATGTTACAGTTGAAGCAGGTTTGACATTTACAATCATTGGTGAGACTTACCATATATTTCTGATCATCTAAAACAAAGACAATTAGCATTTTAATGCAGTGAAGTGTATACACAGACATGTAATTAAATGTTAAACCAACATATTCTATTGTATTTGGCTTGGTCTCTTCAATACAGGAGTGAGCAACATACCTTTGGATTTACCTGCGATGTTTGCTTTTGTTCTGAATGAAAAAAAAAGACATAATAGATTGGGTTTGGTTAAAAAATATCCTTACTGAAGAGGAAGCAACAGCACAGAACACATTTCTCAATGTACTGTGTTAAGTCTGATCCACACTTAGGTTTTCGACATCATAACAGATATTTGAGACAACAACAATCACATAATGAACAGTTTTGATCCTATAGTGTGCAGAGCAACAATATGACCTAAACACTAACACTGTGACGCTCTCAACCTGCGGCAAAAATCCCCAAAAATGATTTACAAAGGGAAACATTGTCATCAGAAATGATTAAGTCTCATCATCACAGTGTTTCCCACATAGAGGAAACTCTAGAGAGTGAGAGAGAAATCAGCCGGTACATCCCCGCTGTAAATGCACCGATTCCTTCTTTTAATATTTTACTGCAGCTGCTGTCCTGCACTCATAGTTTATGATGATTGTTGTGATACGCATCATCATCAATAAGCCTCCACACACGAAGATCACCTGATGTGATTACAGAATATCGAGTGAAACATTTGAAATGCAGGTCATCTTATTTGAGCTTCTTTAGCATACTTTTAATGTGTGTGTGTGTGTGTGTGTGTGTGTGTGTGTGTGTGTGTGTGTGTGTGTGTGTGTGTGTGTGTGTGTGTGTGTGTGTGTGTGTGTGTGTGTGTGTGTGTGTGTGTGTGTGTGTGTGTGTGTGTGTGTGTGTATATTTGTGTGTTTGTGTGTGTGTGTGTGCGTAGATAAGTGAACGGAAGGGAAGTAAGATGAACAGATTAAAGTAGTTTATGACACAAATTATAATAAGTTAGAAAAAAACCACAATTAATATAAATATGTTTTAACAAACATTAGGTTTATATATAACCAAACCTAATATAAACAAGGTACGATGACTTTTTATCAGATTCAGCATGGTTAATTATTGGATGGCGTTCTAAACTAAAAAAGTTGTCACTATTACTCTGCTGACTCACTTTTATTTCTTAAATATTTGCTGATTCAGCTTTCTCCACCGACTCAATCTTTTCCTGATGCCTTTGATTTATCTTTTGACAACTTGTTGACCAACTTATTGTTTTCACATGTTTGTATCTGAAGTTCTTCTTCTACATGTTGACCAATATATGTGAAATAAGTTGTCTTACCTTTTGGAATCACATTTATCTAAAAAAAAAAAAAAAAAAAAAGAAGTAGTTATTGGTATCAGCAAGCTTCCACAAAACCCTCTTAACAGGAATACCGCATGTTAACTACCGCCAGCTTCCTTTAAGAGAATCAAAAGTTGGTTCAATTAAATATTTTCTTCAACTACAAATGGGTGTAAATAGTTCCCATTTTTTTTAAAATTTGAGATATTAATGATTTGTCATTTTACCAATTCTGCTCTGAGCAAAGAGAAGGGCCAATCCCAGCAGGAGGACACCCCCCGTCACAGCTGCTGCGATCACCCACATGATCTTCTCTGCATTAAGAGAAGAGGCAGTTAAAAAGTGTCACCTTACACAGGTTACATTAAACGACTGAAGACTAAGGGCAGGCTCACACTAGGCAAAGTTGTCCCTTACCGTGCTTAAGCACGATAGCACCCCCTCCCCATTCCTCCACTGGCCTGCACTCACGCTGCTCCAGGACTAACCGGGCCTGAGCACGGTACGGATTGCCGAGTGTGAGTGCGCCCTAACACAGCCGTCTCCACAACAACAACACTGGTGTTTAGCACAAACAGCCACAACAAGACCTACAACCAGCCGTACTACTACTGGATTAGAGACATGTTAACATTCTTTACACCAAAGTGAACACCTGAAGAAGAACTATTGTCAAAAAGCATGAATTTCTTCTCCTCTCTAATGTTCTGTATGCACAGATGTTTTTTAAAGCCATCTGGGGGGAAAATGGCTCTCTAGAGACTCTTGCAGGATTATTAGATTCACCCAAAGTTGAAACCATTTTGACTTGGTCCAAGCTCGAAACATCAGTCAGGAGAATTTATATTAAATCTCATTTTAGCATCTTAACATTTTGATTTACTAAACATGGTCTACTCTTCTTTCTCCACCAGATGCTGCATAGAGCTCATATTGTAACTGTTTCCTTAAGGCCTCGTAAATAACATTCAGACTGTACTGTCTATACTTTTCTTGAACAAAACATGGAACAACAAATGTCTTAGAGCCTCAGAGGAGTGAATTTGTCTGATTTTGACAAGACTTGCATGTCAACATCATCAGTATATGAGTGTGTGGGTAAATATGTTGAAGTTGTGCTTTAAAGACTTAACAAATGTCAGAGAGCACCACATGGGGGTTCACGTATATAAATCACTCACATTAGACCAACCAATAAGCAACCAGTATGTAAGAACAATCTGACAGACATTTAAGTTGTCCACTTTGTAAAATACGTTACCTGATTCTGGTGTCCCTGGTGTTTGGGAGGTAACAGTGGAACCACCATTTATACTTGTGCCAACAGTCCAACCTGTTCCATAGGGACAGTACATTTCAAAATAAGTTTGTTTTAAAGGAGTCACCAGAGTAGAAGCAACAGAGCTGGGAACAGTCAGACCTGGCCAATAAAAATACCTCTTTAATTTTTTACAGGTAATCAAAGTTGTTAATTGAAGTTTTCTTGAATGATAAAATGTTCTACAGTAGTTGTAACAAATGATGGCGTTTTCTGGATCCTGCTTGACTCTCTCTCCACAATACCTACAGTACAGTACAACACTTGTATTACTCACTTTGTATGCTGATGGAGACTGTGTCACTGTGTGGAGATGGAACATTTCTGCCTCCACTCTGAACAGTGTAAAAACATTTCACTTTGACCTCAACAGGTGAACTCTGATGATCCATCTTCAGCAGTTCACTTCCTGTCAGTGTCTGCAGACAGGAAAATGTCCTCACAGTTTCTCCACTTAAAGTGAAGTACTGACACTGAGACACAGATGATGGAGTCTGACACTTCAGTGTGACTGAGTCTGTCTCTGTGATGACTGCTGGATCCACCATCAGGTCAGGTTGAGGAAGAGCTGAAAATATGAGTAAATATGTTTGAAAAATAGAAATGTAAACATATTCACCATTGTTGAAACAGTATAATACATGTTCCACCAGTGCTGCCATTAGTATGTTTGTTTGAGTGTTTTTAGGACTATAAACAACAACAGATTATCTTATATAATCACTCTCAAAATAATTATTAAAACACACAAAACAAATGTAGCTCAAATACATATTAAATCTGCAAAAGCTTTTTCTTTTAAATAAATCACTTGACAAATGTATACTGATAGAGGATGCCTTTTGACAATATTCCAACTCTTTAAATCAGACTGCTTGAACCAGTTTGTGTCTTTCTGATGATGTAACAAAATATAATAATATTGACAACACTTCTATTACTCACTTTGTATGCTGATGGAGACTGTGTCACTGTGTGGAGATGGAACATTTCTGCCTCCACTCTGAACAGTGTAAAAACATTTCACTTTGACCTCAGCAGATGAACTCTGATGATCCATCTTCAGCAGTTCACTTCCTGTCAGTGTCTGCAGACAGGATAATATCTTCACAGTTCCTCCACTTAAAGTTTGGTAATAACACTGAGACACTGATGATGGAGTCTGACAGTTCAGTGTGACTGAGTCTGTCTCTGTGATCACTGCTGAATTCACTGTAAGTTTAGGTGGAAGACGAGCTGAAAATATAAACCATGAATATGTTTTATCAAACTCAAACATAAGCTGTATATAAATGTTTAAATTCTTCAGTAGTGCAGCGATCACAGCACAGTTAGACATGAACGATGAGAGATCACAGACTGACCTTCTGTTTGAATCCCATTAAAGACATCTGTTTAAAAAACACAGTGAAAGTAAGGTGACTACACATAATAATAACTCCAAGAGTTCACACATTTCAACTCTTCCAACTATTCATTTATTTTAATCAAATGGAGACAAAAATAGATTTTATTTGTCACAACTGGCAGAACACAAAACACAATATCACCGACTCAAAGCTTAATCACTGATATGATGATATCTGACATGACACATTAACGTCATGTTTCAATCTGCAGAGCTTTATAATAGTCCACAATAATACTGAATAAATCAATAAAGGTTTTACTTACACATGAAGAAGACAAACAGCAGACGTCCGGCCATGATGAAGCTGAACACTGAGACTGTACAGAGGATACATGTGTGTCTCACTGTATGGACTTTGTGGTTAATGAGACCAAGTTCTTAAATTAGATACATGAGAACGACAGCTATCAGAAATGAGACCCAGGCCAACAGCCCAAGCCTATTGTTATTTTTTACTTGTATGCATATGTGTTAGTGTCAAATCCTGCACAATGGAAACTAGCTTGTGTAGAAAGATGACATGGTGTATCTGCAGGTGTAAAACTGACACTTCACTAACACGCTGAGCTTGTTTGTGTTCTGCTCTCACTAAAGACAAAGTTTGTTCCGTCTGGTTGATACATTTCAAAGTGTCTTATATCAAAAAGTATTTGGTCTTTGTAATTATGGATACTAGTTTTCTTTGGGTGACCAGGTGTCCCTCTTTGTGCAGGACTGCACAACAAAGTGTTCTAGTACTCGAAATTGGCCTTTGTCTCAAGACCGGCCTTAAGACCAGTTTTTGGAGGTCTCAGTCTTGCTCGGAATCGAAAGCATTTTTGCTTGGTTTTGTCTCAGTCTCAGACCAGGAGGACTCCGGATTACAAATCAAGATCAGTCACGAACACCACTGTAAAGCTATTTTTCTCTGTCATTACTGTAATTAGAAGAAATAATAAATAACTTCAATTGATTCATAACTTGATTTTTATCCCTAGGTTATGTCCGCAAATGGTCAAAGTGAGTGACACGCCTGCTGCACACAAGATGATGATTTTTCAGAGATATTTATGGTCTTGTTCTTATCTCGGCCTCGCTCTGCCTCGGTCTTGATTCGGTCTCTGAGCATTCTGTTCTGGGGAACGTCTTGGTCTCTGACATCAGCACAATGTTTTCATCACATGTCAGCATCCTGCAAACTCTCAACCTTTACCCCCCTCCCTTCATCCCACATCCCTCGACCCTTACTCTCAACCCACATCCTCCAACACTTACCCCCATCCATTCATACCTCAACCCTCATCCCTCGACCCTTACACTCATCCATTCATACCTCAACCCTCATCCCTCGACCCTTACACTCATCCATTCATACCTCGTCCTCATGCTCATCTCTACATCCCCTTCATCTATTGACCTTTATAATGGTAAATGGTAAATTTTTATTTTATTTTATATAACCTTTATTTAACCAGATAAATAACCCATTGAGATCAGGATCTCTTTCACAAGGGTGACTTGGCCAATAAGGCAGCAGCACATGTCATAAAAAGCATTACATGACAAAGAGACAGTTTACAAACAACAAGTTAACAACGATTTACAATGTGCAAATTGATTTACAAATAAAGTGCAGAATCTTGATCACGGATTACAATTCAGAAACACAGGCACTCTCCAATTGACTCGCGTATTTTATCTTTTAAGATTGAGCCAAAGGCTTCAAGCGAAATAAGATCTGCCATTTTCAATTCATTTTGGAGAAAGTTCCATGCGGTGGGAGCAGCAAAACGAAACGCTCTTTTCCCGAGCTCAGTGCGGACACGAGGCACAGTTTAAAGACATCACAGGAACGCAAGGCATAGTGGCTTCTGGTTCTTTGAAGCTAATAGAACATAAATAAGAAGGCACCAAACCAAGAAGAGGTTTAATGCACAGTGATACACAGTGTCCAATGACTGTAAACATTTGGCCGAGGCGCCCATATACAGTACATCTCCATAATCCAACAAAGGAACAAAGGTTGATGAAACAAGAAGTTTCCTTGCTCTGAGGGAAAAGCAGGATTTATTTCTGTAATAAAATCCCAACTTCACTTTAAGTTTAGAGGCCAAATTGGCAATATGTGATTTAAAAGCTTTTACCTGCTTTTTGTAACATAACAATGAGTAAGGTCTTTTTACCTGCTCTTTTGTAATGTTAACAGACAAAGAGTAAGGTATTTTACCTGCTTTCTGTAAAGTGTCTTGAGATAACACTTGTTATGAGTTGACGCTATACAAAATAAATTGAATTGAATTGAATTGAAAAGACAGATCACACTCAAGAATAAATCCCAAGTACTTGTAGCTTTTGACAAAATCGATTACATTTCCTTGAGAAGTTAAAATCAGTGGGACATTTGTTGTTTCTCCACTTAAATGAGAAAACAACATGAGCTTTGTTTTATCAGGGTTTATGACCAACCTTAGTTCCCTCAAACGAGACTGGACAACATTGAAAGTTGACTGCAGAAACTCAAAAGCTTGTGTAACAGATGCTGAGCAACAATAGATGATAGTGTCATCAGCATAAAAGTGATACATGACATTTGACAAATTTTCACACGTTATTGATATAAATGGAAAATAAAATAGGTCCTAGTATCGAACCTTGGGGCACCCCTTTTGAGATTTCTAAAAAGGAAGAGGTGGATCCTGCCATTTGCACGCATTGCGTTCTGTTTGACAGATAGTTGCCAAACCAAGAGGCTGCTTGCTTTGATAAACCAACTTGATGGAGGATTTTGATCAATAATCCATGATCAACTGTATCAAAGGCCTTTGATAAATCAATAAAGAGAGCTACACAAAATTTCTTACAATCAATTTTTTCAATAATGTCAGTCTGACTGATACTTAGATAACACATTATTGGCATCCAAAAAATCCTTCAGTTGTTCACTAATGATTTTTTCAAATACTTTAGTCAAAATGCAAAGTTTAGAAATTGGTCTGTAATTGTTTACTTGTGAGGGTTCACCCCCTTTTAACAGGGGAAGAACAAATGCTGATTTCCAGACCTTTGGGATTTCATTGCTGATCAGACTGAGGTTAAAAATATATGAAAGAGGCTCAGCAATAAAATCAGCGGCCAACTTAAGGAAGAACGCCTCAAGTTTATCAGGACCTGCTGATTTCCTGGAGTCCAGTTTCTGTAACGCTCTCTGCACCTCAGTGGCAGACACTGGCATAAATTGAAAAGGATGAACAGTAAGTTGACTATCAACCTCAGATGCCAGTGACGCATTATCCTGATTTTTGTCGGATTTACCAAATCAGGTGCAATGAGTCAAATAAAAGCCAGCTAAAATAAAATGTTCATGAAAACAATTTAGCATGGCTGATTTGTCAGTCAGGATGCAAGACTCTTTGACTAAGTGGGCCGGCATATCACTGGGTGACACATGGCCAGAAGAAGATTTTATTACTTTCCAAAATTTCTTTGGGTCATTAAGGTTTTTTGTGGTTTCAGAGATTAAATACTCTGATTTCTCCCTCTTAATTAGGGTTGTACATTTATTACGAAGCTGGCGAAAGAGGAGCCAATCCACTGGGGTTTTAGATTTCCTTGCCCTGGCCCAGGCAACATCCCTATCTTTAAGTAGATTTCCAATCTCTGTTGAAAACCAGGGTTGTTTCGCCCTTTAACCCTGAATATGCGAAACAGGGCATGTTTGTCTATTAAAAACAGAAATCCGTCATAAAAATACTTCCAGGCTAGCTCTACATTATCAAAGAGAAAAACTGTGGTCCAATCAAAACAAGCCAGATCATGTATAAAAGCTTGTTTGTAAAAGTGTTTAAAATCTCTTTTAAGAAGAAGCCGAGGCTTGGTTTTGGAAGTTTGGCATTTCGAACTGTTGCAATGGCACAATGATCATTTGCAAAAACCCCTATATCGTATAGTTATGAGGGCATTTGTCAAAATTAAGTCCAGTAGGGTTGATCTTGTGGGTTGTTTAATATTAGGACAAGTTGGACTATCAATCAGTTGAGACAAGTTTAGAGAGGCACAAACAGATCTGAGGCTGTCCGTGGCTGTGGACAGCCAATCACAATTTAGATCCCCAACCAAAAGTAGCTCACTGGAATTTAGTCCAGCAACATAGCTGGATAAGGAGGACAAGGCTTCCAAACAGGCTGAAGGAGGTCTATAACAACCCAAAACCGAGATAGACTGGCCCTGAGAGAATTCAAGTTGCAGGGCAAAAAGTTCAAATTGCTTGCTGATGGTCACAGATGTTAGGATGGTAGCATGGAACTTATTTTTGACATAAATAGCAACGCCACCACCTTTTCTGGGTCGATCACAACGAAAGACATTGTAACCTTTAATAAAAATATCTTTATCTGAGACTGACTTACCAAGCCATGTTTCAGACAATACAAGAATATCAGTATCAGTTGACTGTGTCCAAATTTTAATTAGGTCCAATTTTGGACAAGGCTCCGAACATTGATATGAATGATACCAAGGCCAGTTCTGGCTCTGAATTCATCAGGTGTAGCAATATTATTCAGTGCAGGGCCTGGATTTGGTTTAACATTGCCTGAGAGTGAAAGTAGAAGTAGAATAAAACCTTTTTTCTTTGCATTTAGTGTTGGTACAGGACCATCATTATGATGCTTGACAAGATCAATAAGTGAGATCTCTGACAATGTGAAATAATTTTTCAAGACAGAGATGCACATCAAACAAAGGTAGTTTGCATCCAGTAAATGGACTTGAACTTATAGCGCTTTTCTCGTCTTCCAACTACTGAAAGCACTTATACACTGTATGTCACACCTACACATTCACACACTGATGGTAGTTGTTGCTATGTAGTGTCATCCATCAGAAATAACTAAACCCATTCATACACTGCTGCCTTAGCAGCAGGAGGAATTCGGGGTTAAGCATCTTGCCAAGAACACATCGGACATGTTGCCAGCGATCGAACCTCGACCTTCTGGTTGAGAGACGATGACTCTACCAACTGAGCCACAGCCGATAATATTCCCATCATCCAACTTATCTCAGTATGTCGATACACACAGGGTGTGGAAGTGGAATTCCCAGCCTATAATGAATTTTTGGATACAAGGTGGAGATTTTGTCTTGTCCAAGAACATTTGTTGTCTGGCAACAACCACGCATAGTTTGGCCTCCTCAAATTAAAGAACACCTTCTTGTCCATTCAGGACCTTACTGAGCTGGCAAAGTGAAGGAAGAGATTAGGCAATGGCAGTCTGATTGTATCTAGGGAGCTAACTGTGTTTTTATGTATTTGTATTACTTGTTTCAGCAGATGATGAGTAAGAAT